TTTTTTTTTCAGTACGACTATTTCTTTGAGAATGGCCCCCTGCCCGATCTGGCGGACGTCACTGGCAATACTCCCATTGCGTCGACCTCCAGTTCGGCTTCGGGCGCACTACACACCCAAGAGGACCAGACCAACATGTTGCTGCACAATGTTTCGAAAATCGAGCGCCTTGCCGAGCGTGAGGCGTCATCTGCAACACGCACATCCCGTTTCATTCCACAGCTGCGGCGGCGTACGCACAGTAAGCGAGGTGCTGTCAGCTCGGATACTTACTCTGGCGAAAGTGTGTTGGTAAGCGAAAGTCAAAGCTTGAATCAGAGTCATAATGCGACTATGAGTTTAAGTAACAAAAATAAAAACAAACACAAACGCAAATCATTGCAATCATCCATAAACCTCAACCAAACCATTACCAAACTCATTTCTGCACCACACAACATGCACAATGCCCTACTCAAGTATAATGCTACTAGCACCAATTCCACCACCAACAACAAAACCATCACACAATCCACACCCAATATTTGTGTGGCAGCAGCCACACCGGCTTCCAAGCCGCTCAAGCAATGTGCTTCGGCGAATCGCCAGCAGCAGCAGCCGCCGCAACAGCAGCAAATGCAAAAGCAGCAGCTGCAGCAGCGGCGTCGCAAAGCCGTGCCCACTATTTATGATTTTGGGCTAACATTGCGTGTACAATTTCAGTCACTGGATTCCACCAAATCTGCTACGACAGCGATGACCACAAGTAGCAGTTCAACAAATGCTACTACAGCGTCGTCAAGCAGCAGCAGCGTCATTACCTCCACTCAAAAGACGAAAAAGGAGCGTAGCTTCCTTATCAATCACGGCAGTGGCGGTTTTGTGCGTTTGCACCATAGAAAAGCCAGTCTGGATGAGAAGGACTCAGGCAGCTGTAGTGGTTCGGGTAGTGGCAGCGGAGGCAGCATGAGCAAGGAACAACAACGCAGCAGTGTCGATATATCCGTGCTGCTGACAGATGATGAGTCGAGCAACAGTCGAAGCGACACGGGTAA